TCTGTTCCCCACTCTGTCTCTGGTGAAGCCTCTCACCGCCCCTGAGCCCCTGGCCTGTACCCCAGTTCTGTATGCACAAATAAATAAATCTTAAAAAAAATAAAAATTCAGAGTATTTTCTCTGAAAATCATCTTTTTTTTTTTATTTTTAACATCATACTTTGCCTCCAAAGTATGCCTCTTGCATATTTCATTGTATCCTCATTTTATCACAAATGTTTAATAATTATTATTTCTTGAAGATTTTTGTTAAAAGATGTCCGGAGTATTTGAACCATTATTTTTAATTTGTAAGGAAAAATAATTTGGTAACATTATTGTGCATAATGCTGTTTTAATACAATACCAGTTTTAAAACTAGGTCATTCGGTAGCTGAATAGAGGTATATTTTGTGTGTCACTGTCTTTAATTCTCTCAGATGTTAGCCTAAGAGATAATTATAAAGATGTTGATTTTCCTTTCTAATTTTCCTCCTGTAAATTATTGTTTTATTTAGTATTAAACAGGATCCAAAAAAAAAAGTGAAAAAGATTTGTAAAATAAGCCCTTAAAAAGCAAGCAATTATAGTTATTTTTACATAGGCTAATCAGTATTCTTTTAAATTTGTAATCAAGTGGCATCTATAATTATTTGAGCCACTTGCCTCGTGCACACAATTGGATATACTGAAATTTACTCGCTTCCTTTCCTTTCCTGTTCATTCAGAGTTTATAACTAATAGTTGTTGTTTTTTTTTCTCTCACATAAAGCTTAGTTTTGGAGGAATTCCAGTACCAGGCAAACCTGGAACCTTTCTGAAGAAAAACTTTCATGGATGTATTGAAAACCTTTATTACAATGGAATAAATATAATTGACCTGGCTAAAAGGCGAAAGCATCAGATCTACACTGTGGTAAGTCAGTATCTTTTTCAGCATACATTGGAATACTCCAGTTTTCCCCACACACATCAAAATATATTTACATTACCCTGTTGAAGGTTCCATCAACCTCTCAGGTAAAACTGAGAGGTGAAGGTTGGAACTGAGTCAGTTTGAATTGTTTTACTGGGAGAACAGAGAAACAAATATCATTAGAAACATCTAGAAAATCCCAAGTCCCTGACTTTAAATTGTGTAGGGTCAATAGTCTAAAGTGGGTTAATACAAACCTCTTTATTATCTCTGAGAAGTACAGCATTTGAACCACAGATTTGATTAAGGTCTATAACATACAAATTATATACTGGTTTACTTATTGTTGATATTAAAATATGACATTTTGAATGAGAGAGAAGAAACTCTGGACATTGTGGAGATTCCTTTTATAGAACATTGATGACTTAAGTAATATTCTAATTAAATAATATTTGTCTTCTTCAATAGACTTTGAGTTTTATGTTTTTTGTTTGTACTTTGCACATACTAGTTGTTCATATGGTGTTGGTGTTTTTAACTGTAATCGTAGATTTGTCCACTTCTCTTCCCAGTTCTATGAGAATTTTCCTCATTTGTTTTGTAGCACTTTTGTAGTTTGTACATACACATTTAGGACTGCTGTGTCTCTCTGATGAATTGGCCCTTTTATCATTATAAATTGTACTTCTCTCTGATGATTTTCTTTGCTTTGCAGTCCACTTTATCTGACATTAATATAACAACTCTCACTTTCTTTTGAATAATGTTGACATGATAAATCTTTTTTCTATACTTTCATTTTTAACTGCCTATATTTAAAATGGATTTCTCATAGACATTGTTTAGAATGGGCATGTTTTTGTCTATTTAAAGTATATATTTAAGAAATCTACAGTGTAACCAATTTATATTTAATGTTAAAGTTAGTGATGTGTTCAGGCTCAAATGTATGAATAGTTTATATGTCGTTCTGTTGTTCAGGGCTCTTATCTTCATGTTAGTATGTGTTTCTTGAATGATTTTTAGATTTCATTTTGGTTTATCTAGTATTTGAATATATTGCAGTATACAGCTGAGACATGTTGTTAGTGGAATGTATTGGAATGCCAACAATTTTAGAGGAGTGTAGAAAGTTTATTTCCTTTCTTGTTCCTTTGCCCTCCCCTGTTTATTATATATGTCCCTTAATCAGCATTTCATCCCTGTGTATTTATTATTTTTGTTTTAACTGTCAAGCATGCTTTCCAGAAAACTCTAAAGTTTTTATTCATTGTGTTGTATTTAGTCATATTCTCCTTACTCTCCTTTCATTTTGTCTGGTTTTCCCACTTCATTCTTTTTTCATTTCCTTTCTGTATCAAAACTTCATTTAGCCATTATTTTAGGGTATATGCTCTAGTGACAGATTCTCTTGCTTTTTATTCATCTTATATTGTCTTAATATTTCTTTCAATCTTGAGAATATATTCACTGGACATAAGATTGTGAGATGATAATCATTTTCTCTCAACACTTGAAGAATGTTGGATTACTTGCTTCTAAATTTAATAGTTTCTGGTGAAAAAGCCACTGTTATTTACTGTGAAGGTAAATGTCATTTCTTTCCCACTGCTTTGAAGATCTTTTCTTTGTCTTTAATTTTCAGAAGTTTGCTTATGATGTAGATTAATTTGGGTTTATCCCGAGTTTCACTGAATCTCTAAATTTTTGTCATTCACCAAACTTGAGAAGTAGTCCACCTCTTATGTAAATACTTTTCAGTACTTCCCTCTTTGTCATCTCCTTCTAGAATTTCACTAGATCATTCACTTAATCCCACAGGTTCTTAATTTTTGGTTTTGTTTTCTTTTTTGAACTTGTTGTTGAATTTCTTAGCCTACTTTATTGATTGTTAAATTTGGGTATATTTTTATTGCTAGACCTTCACGCTCATTAATTCTGCTGTTATTGTGTATGTAAATTACTTTTAATCTTTGTTACTGCACTTTTCAATTCTAGAGATTTGCATTTTGTTCTTTTCCCTTTGTAAGAATTTCTATTTTTTTGTCAAGAATTTCTATTTTTATTTGTTTCAAATGTTTAATTATTCCCTGAAGATTTTTAATATAATATCTAATTGTCTATAACTTTATTATAATGCCTAATTGTGAGATAATTCTAGCATCTCTGTCATCTCAATGTTGATATCTATTAATTATATTTTTCATTAAGTTTGAGACTTTTATTGCTTAGTATGACAAGCGATTGTTTTATTGGTCATTTTAGGTATTCTTTTTTAAATTTTTTTTTAAGATTTATTTATTTATGTATCAGAACTGGGGTACAGGCCAGAGGTGCATGGACGGTGAGAGCATTCACCACACACAGAGCAGGGAGCAGAACAGGCAGATAGATGAAGTACACTGCTGAGGGGAGCAGCAGGTAGGTCAGGAGAGGTCTGCTGTGCCATGTAGATCACCTCTAGGGCAGGCGGGGATCTAACTCATGCTGAAATGGCTTTAGCTTAGTGTAGTGCTTTAACCTGCTGCACCACCAGGGAGGAAAAAGTTGTTATTTAATACCCTTCAGACCAGATATTTAGAGTATCTTATTATATACTCTGACCAGCTGGAACTAAAGTTGAAGTGTTTTTTTTTTTTTTTTTTCTTTCTATGGTATTTTGCTAACATTGAACAGCTATTGTCTAAAGCTGTTCCCTCACTATGTTGGTCTTTTCTTAGTCCACTGACTAGAGACATCAATTTTATAGTGGTGATTTTTATTTGTCTGCATCAATAAGTCTTTCTGGGTTGCTAGCTTCTTAGCAGCAGAGATATATGAGATAAAAACAAAACCTAGAATTGCCAAATTTTTGTTCCTTGGGTCTCTAGATCCTTACATATGTTTTTTTGCTCTGCCATTCAGAGCTTTCTAGTTTTGTCTTATAGACATTTTTTTTAATTGTACCTAGTGGGAAACAGGAAAAAGAGTACTACTCCATCTTCCCAGAAGTAGAGTTCCTTAATTTAGATACTTACAAAATTGTAAAAGGACAACCTATCATTAAAGGAAAACACCTGATTCTCTTTGCAATCATGAACTATCAGTCAACCAATGGAATTTAAATGCCTTTGAGACTTATTTCTTTTTTCCTTTGGCAAATATGACTAGTAAGAATGCTTTATAGCTTTGAATTACATATGTTAACATAAATTATTTTAAAATATTTATTTATACATACAGAACTGGGGTACAGGCCAGGGTGCAGGGGTGATGAGAGGATTAACCAGAGACAGAGTGGGGAGAAGAACAGGCCGACTGATGAGTACACTGCTGAGGGGAGCAGCAGGCCTATCAGGAGGGGTCTGCCATGCCATGTGGATCACCTCTGGGGTGGGGATCGAATTCATGCTGTGCTTAAGAACTAAAGCTTCTTAGTGCTGTGCTTTAACCCGCTGTGCCACCAGGGAGGGCCCTATTAACACACATTTTTAAAAAAAGATTTATTTATTCATACAGAACTGGGGTACAGGCCAGAGATGTGGAGGGTGAGAGGATTCATCAGAGACAGAGTGGGGGGGCAGAACAGGCAGATCAATGAAGTACACTGCTGATGGGAGCAGCAGGTGGGTGAGGAGAGGTCTGCCTGGCCATGTGGATCTCCTCCAGGGCAGGTGGGTATTGAACTCATGCGGAAGTGGCTTAAGCTTCTTAGTGTAGTGCTTTAACCCACTGTGCCACCAGGGAGGGCCCTTAACACACATTTTTAAAGAGGCTATAGGATGCCAAGATATGAGACAGACTTGCTTTATGGAAATCTATTGGAGGAAGGTGGTCAGTGTTTAAAACTATTTGTCCCTAGGGCTCCCTGGTGGCCTAGGGGTTAAGTCTCGCTGTTATGACAGCTACAGCCTGATTTCAAGTCCTGCCTAGGGTGCTGAACCACATGGCAAAGCAGACCTCTACTGTTTCATCTGTTGCTCCCTTCAGCAGTATATTTCAGTAGATCTGCCTTTCTGCTTTGCACTCTGTCTCTGGTAAAGCCTCTCACCCCCCAAACTTCTGGTCTTTGTATGCACCCCAGTTTTTGTATGCATAAATAAAATAAATAAATATTTATAAAATAAAATGTTTTTGCCCAATAGCTGAGTATGGAGAGTAAGGATGGTACTAAGAAAGAGTTAGACCCCTGACTCTGTTCTAGAAGATCAGTGATAGCACTTAGCATTCCTTGGCTCATATTCAAAAATATTGACAATTTCCCACCCACATATGCTTCAACTGAAGCACATCTCCTAGTTAAGCTAAGCACTAGTTTGTCAATGACATTTTTCTTGAGCTTAGGTCAGGAGATATGAGCCTTTTAAACATGCTCAAGTCTATTCCTACCTTAATTGTATTGTCCAGAAATATTGCACTATATGCCATCTTTTGAGGTCATTCTTGCTGATAAAATAGTACCTTACACTACTGCAATTAAAAGAGAGGGAAACATTATTTGTATGATTGCTAAGAGCTGGAAGAACAAGTTGAACTACTAGGAGCTTATGAAACTTATCACTTTTTCTCATTATTCACAAATTGGGACTTAAAATGTATAATACTGTGTCATAAATGTAAATAACAAAGATCCCTATGACAATACTAATGAAGAATATCTCCACCATCTCAGAAAAATACAGGATGGTTTCCCTCATAGCAGAAACATAGGAATTAGGGTTGGGGGGTGAATGAGAGAAGCAAATTTAATAGAGTAAAAATGAAAACAATGAACAACTATAAAGCAGAGACATTTCATGGGGGTGAAAAAGGAAATGTGGTCAGAACTGGGGTAAGAAGAGTACACTGGACTATGGTGATGATGGCACCTGGGTGAATTGGTGATGGGAAGCCCATGCGGATTACAATGAGATGATAACATGCACACAATGAAGATGTTAAAAAATAAAAATAAATCATCTTTGATGATTAGATATATGAGATACAATCACTGGATTTGCAGAGTTAAAAAGAGGGAA